CCCAGTTTACGGTACAGGATCTTCTGGCACAGCCGGGTCGTGAGACCATGTACAAACTCGACCCGGATCGAGCCCCGGGCACATTTTGGTACGTAATTTTTTTCCTACAATATTTTTAAATTAATTAATATTTATTCTTATATATTTGATATTAATTTACTTTTCTCTTTCTATTTGACTAGGTTTACGACCGACAATGCAGTCGATCGTAACGTTGCGGATATCATCAAGGGGTTTTTCGTACAACTCCATACCAGCTGGAAGAAGCTGGATCAGGCCACACTTGACACTTGGTTCAAATGTTTTGCTGTAAGTAATTTACAATTTCGTTTAATTTTAATTTTAAATTTTAACTTTTTACAATAATTACTAATTATTTTTTTTTCCTAGCAAAACTGGCATTGGAAAACATCCGCACACGGACGTGTGGAGACGGCCTTCAAGGAGAAGGTCAAATTCCGCCTCAACAACACCGTTTCCGAGTGGAAACGGAAGTGGGAGGTTGACGGCGACAAGGCCAAGCCGGCGCCTATGGCCAATACCGTCTGGCGGGGACTTGTCCAGTACTGGTTGGATCCGCACAACCAGACTACGGCCGCCAAGTGTTCCGGATCTAGGTAAGTAGTTAATTCCAATAATATTTTCATTATTTGTTTTCTTATAATAGATTCTAATGAAAATATTTTTCAGGAACGCTACTGACGATGCGGGAAATCAGAAGAACGTTCTGCACACTTCTGGCAGATTCCTTTTGCCGGAAGACGGCTTATGATGGTAAGTAAATTAAAATTACTTATTTTTTTTGTTTTCAAATAATTAACCCTTATTTGTCGATACTAATTTTTTCATTTTGATTTTGTAGGTCGAAGATAACGGAGGAGAACTTCCTCCGATGACAAAGGTTTTCGCCGAGACGCATAAGAAGCGGAACGGCGAATTCACGGATCCTCGGGCGGAGGAGATCTACAACGCCGCCTGTGCGGCGATCGAGGAGCGACTGACGCAGCTGACTCAGCAGGCGCGTCAAACGTCTCCTGGAGGTAGCTCGGTCCAATCGACCCCGGCGCTGACGGTGGCGGAGATATACCAGATCTTCGAAGAGGTAAATTTAATTACTATATTTAATTAATGCAACTTTAGTTTTAAATTGAATTTCTAACCATAATGTTTTTAAATATTTGTAGGTTGCCCCAAATAAAAAGGGGCGGGTATTAGGGATGGGGTCCATCCGTGATACCCCGAGAGCTACAGCGACTGGTCACGTCCGGGTCCCGGATCCGGTTATTCGCCAGAAGATCGATCAAATGCGGACCCGTTACGAGACCAGGATCGACCAGCTCTACGGTCTCTTCGAGATCATGGGAGTCGACAACCCGGTGCTCATGGCGCAGTTGGACAAGCTGCGGACTGATGGGGTTGTCGGATCGTCTGCCGCCGGGTCATCCACTAGGACGCAACCACCGGTGCAGACGGACGAGAAGATGTTCCGATCTCTCGGGGTTGAGCCTCCTAGAGCCGGAGATCAGGCGCCGGCGGAAGCATCAAACCAAAGACCCGACAAGGAACACGTCCAGGACGATGGGGAGGAGGCCGGTGACGGGATCGACGATATAGATTTAGAATTAGATTTAGAGCTTTAGGGTTTTTATGTAAATTACAATTAATTTTAATTTGAAATTTTAATTTCAAATTTTAAGAAATTTTAAATTGTAAATTTTTTTTTTAATTTAAATTTTAATTCGAATTAATTTTTTTTTTAATTTTCAATTATATTAAACGTCGTATAATCGTCGTAATATCTTTATTTAAAACCGTCGTACATTCGTCGTAAATATTACGACGAATTTACGACCAAAATGTACGACGACAAATACGACGATTATACGTCTGTGCTTTACGACGTTTTTACGACGAAATGATTAAATATTTTACGATTGATTTACGACGATTTATGCGTCATACATTTTACGACGATCTTACGTCGACCACTTAACGACGGTCCAGGCGAAGACCAAGTCGACGCAATTCGATGTAAAATCGTCGTAAACTGTACGACGCATTTACGACGATTTTGTTTCCCTCGATGTTACGACGAAACGAAACCGTCGTATACTATATGACGATTTTACGACGATTTGTCTATTACGACGATGACTTTACGACAATTTCGAAATCGTCGGTAGTTCGTCGTAATAGCCCTATTACGACGAAATAACGACCATTTTGGCCGTTGTAAAATGATGTTTTTCTTGTAGTGACATAAGCACAGCCCGCATAGTAAAATGTTTCCTCGTAGAACAGTCATATGTACGAATGCCAGTATACCATAACTGATTCAACTCATGTATGAGTGGCTGCAGAAATACATCGAGAGCTCGCTTCGGATGATTTGGAACTAGAACCAAAATACTTAGGAAAAGAAATTCCCTTTGCATGCACAAATCTGGAGGAATGTTATAAGAAGTTAGGATTACTGGCCATAATGAATATTGTCTACCAGACATACCAAATGGACTAAAACCATCAGTGCACAGACCAAGATAGACATTCCGTTTGAACTTAGCAAAATCTGGGTATACCATATTGAAGTGTTTCCATGCCTTTGCATCTGATGGATGAACAACTTCTCCATCTACTTGTGTATGTTCTACATGCCATCTCATTGATGCAGCTGTCCTTTCAGATTGATAAAGCCGTTTTAACCTATCTGTTATAGAGATACCACATACGTTGGTACGGTATCCTTTTACGCCCACCAGTTTGCGGCCTGTATCTTGGTTTTTGGCAAAACCGACATTCCTCCAGCTGATTATCATCTTTCCAAAAAATCATACAGTTGTCAACACATACATCTATCATCTCAGAAGGTAGACCAAGACTAAAAATCAACTTCTGAATTTCATAGTATGTTCCCGCTGCCAAGTTATCCTCCGGTAGATACTCCTTCAAAAGATCAGCCCAATCATCCATGCAAACCTCAGCCAGGTTATGATCTGTTTTAATTGACATCATCCTAGCTGCCTTCTCTACATCCTTCGTAGATTGGCTGATTAGCATTGTCTAACAAATCATAAAATCGTTTGGCATCTACATTAGGTTCCTCAACAGCATTACCAGTATGCGTTTCATGAAATGCATCAGTCACCATTTCGTGCATCCTATCATGATCTACACTTTGATCATATTGATACTGATTAGGCTGATGACCATAATTCGATTCATCAATATCAACATGACTTTGATAATTACTACTACTACCAGCATTCCCATGAGTATTACTGCCATATCCTTCTCCATGTAGATACCAAACAAAATATTGCGGCATAAACCCTCTATTTAATAAATGCGTCCACACGGTTTTGGTTAGTGTATACCTCGTATTCTTGCATTTCAAACAAGGACAAAACATCTTCCCACTATCTTTCGTTCTCTCCATATTTGTAGCCTGAAACATAAATATTTCTAACCCGTTCTTGAAATCTTCTGTCAACGCCCCATCTGAATCTTTACGCATATACATCCAACTTCTTAGCTCGTATATAGACATCTTGAAAATAAACTCAAAATACTATATCTTTTTATTGATTAGACAATTGTGTCACGATCTAGCCACGTGAATGGAGTAAATTAACCTTATAATATTATTACTTCTTTTTTTCAAAGTAATATAACTCTTAATTCGGGTTTCCAGCAATGGACAACCCAATATATAAGGATTTACAACACTATACTAAAATTTAAGAGACCTACAATGGGTCTCAAAGATGAAGATGCTCTTATGTTTGAATGATATTGTGTTGTGATTGAAAGAAGGAATGAAGATCTATTTATAGGAAAATTTCGGGCTTTACAACGCTTTTACGACGACATTTTACGACGAATTTACATTCAAAAATAATATTACGACGAGTTTACGACGATTATGCGATAAAATCTATCCCCTGCAATTGTTAGGTAAACATGTTTTAAATGTTTTCCACCTAACTTCTTTTCGACGTAAAATCGTCGTAATATGTACATCGAAATGCAGTCGTCGTATATTCGTCGTAATGTTACATCAAATTTACGACGATTTTACATTTACTAGCAAATCTCTCGTTATCGATGTATAATCGTCGTAAATTGTACGTCGAGTTTACAACGATTTTTTTATACGACGGTGTTACGATGGTTTTTAAAATAGACGTAAGATCGTCGTAAAATCGTTGTAAACTTGCGACGATGTGAAAACCGTCGTAATGGACCGTTGGAAAACGATTGTTTTCTTGTAGTGAACGTGATTTTTTAAAAACATATTATTTTGTTATATATAGTTAACTTATAGACAGCTTAACAAAGCGAAAACCTTAAATAAGAAATCATAAACTATATTCTTTCTTTAACAAAATAAACTAAAAGAAACCCAAGACCTCAAACAAAAGTATTATATTATGAAAAATCAAATATTTTGAAATGATTAAATTTCAAACCGTCCAAAAATATTTATATCAAAAGTTTCTTCAAACATTTCTCTACTTTTCTTATGGTGTGTTATCCCACCTAAATACTCTAGACTACACTAATAGAATAGAATAACCAGACCCAAATAAATACTCTAGTTCACGTCTCTCCTATCAAAATATCTCAAATCCAATTTAGAGACGATAAACAGTCAGTATCCATTAAAAGCATTAACTGACATGAACTTTAAGTTAAGTTTGGATCAACCACCCATTTAAATATCTCTATTCATTTAATAGACAATTCATTGACATTGACATCAAATTTGTAACGTCATGAGCTGTTTACTATATTAATCACACAATTGCTATAAAAAAAATCATAAAGTATCTAAAATGGAAAGAACATGTGTTGTTGACCAGAGAATAAAACAAAATGAAACAAAACAAACAAAAATAGAGGGGTAAAAATGTCATTTACGTCTTGATGGAAACAAAACGAAAACAAGTCGGCACAAGCAGCACTATAAAAGGCTATCTGGCTCTTGACGACTCCACCTCGTAGATACCGAATCTCTTTTCTTATTCGTTTCACCTTTCTTCTTCATGTGTCTCATCTTCTGAAATAATAATAAAAAAAAATTTCTCCGATTAGAAGAAAACAATGCACCGATCACGGAATTTCAAGATCTCCGGGAACGACGCGATTCTTTCTTGTTGTCTTTCGATCTCCAATCTCAAAGTTCTATTCGTTTTTGAATCGTCGATATTGAATAATTCGTTCACGCGTTTTGAAGATGAGTTGGTCCGATAAGCTCCGCTGCTTCTCCTCCGATCTTTGCAGATTCTCCAATTTTATCTTTAATCGATCGTCTTATTGATTTGACTCGGATTTTCGACTGCGCGTTTTGATATTCACGAATCTCGGATATTTTCTCTGTTTCTTTCCTGCAATCTTCGATGGATAAGAAGATTTCGTTTCCGGATGATCTCCCTGAAGGTAATCTCGACTGTTACTCGCTTGATATCTCTCTATTGTCTTGCCCTGGCTTTTTTGAGTTAATGCATTGCGATTTCGATAATGTCAAATAATCAAAGATAGATTGAACGATTTCTTATCCAGTACAATCAGATCTATCTGTTCTTCCTCTGAAATTTTCTGTGCGTTGATTCCGTCTCTATTACACAAAGATTTCTTTCCGGCGTGATCCAACAATGCTGACTGATTCGTGAATTAGATTCTAATTTGTATGAAATTCCAAATTTGTGTGGTTGTGATAAAATCTTGTGGAAAAATGCTTGATGGATATTTGATGTATGATGTTACATATATTTTTCCTTGAATTGATTTTGCGCAAAATTATGCAATCTAAAAATGTGCAGGCACAATCTCTGCGCTTATTCAGAAGCAGAACAATGTGCAGCCTTCTGTGATCGTAATTGGCAGTGGTATATCAGGTCTTGCTGCTGCTAGGAATCTCTCGGAAGCATCTTTTAAGGTAATGTTACGTTACCTTGTTTATTTGTATTTATGTAACTTTTAGGTGTAGTCTGTACATTTCTCTATATGATAATTGAAATCTTTTGATGTTTGTATAGGTGACCGTTCTCGAATCACGCGATAGGATTGGTGGTCGTATCCATACCGATTATTCTTTTGGTTGTCCAGTTGATATGGGAGCTTCATGGTGAGTTTTGATCAACTTCGTTTTCTCAACTTAATCGGTGGCTTTGTTTATCTTTGTTTGGACGTTTGGAGAAGTAGGCAACATCTGCAACCTAATTGCTGGTTTTCCTTAGATGTACTTCTTAAATAGCCGCTATTTTTATGAGCCTTCTAACCCTTTCTCAAACATGGTCTAGGTTACATGGAGTCTCCAACGATAATCCCTTGGCTCCAATAATACGCCGTCTAGGGCTGACTTTATACCGAACTAGCGGGGATGACTCCATTTTATATGATCATGATCTGGAAAGGTAATTCTTTCTGACCTTTACGTTTTTGTACTTTTGATCAACTAACTATGGTTGTGTGTGTGAAGATTTATACCAAAAGCGTGGTCTCTCTGCTAGATCTTATGGTTTCACTTACGTCATTCTTCTAAACGTGGTAGTACATGGAGTTCAATCTGAAGCCTGACCCCTGACCTTATTTATATATCACTCACACTAGTGCTCCACTCTAACAACTTAGCTAATTGATTCAAACATTTATAAGGAGAATTTGGCTTTCTTTTTCAGTTATGGACTCTATGACATGCATGGAAATAAAATTCCACCGCAGTTGGTCACTGAAGTTGGAGATGCATTTAAGAGAATTCTCGAAGAGGTAATTTTTGCATTTGCTAGATTAAATTTTCTAATAACCATCCTATGTCACAAGAGAGGTTGATACATGCTTTACTTCCCCTTGTTAATTCCAGACAGAGAAAATTAGGGATGAAACCGCTAATGACATGTCAGTTCTTCAGGGAATATCCATCGTCTTGGATAGAAATCCAGAACTAAGGTACCAAGTGCAGTACGTTTGTGAAAGTAACATTTTTGCTTCTTTAATTTATGTCTATTATACCTGTGTTGTTTTTTCTTGTATTATCTAGGCAAGAAGGAATGGCGTACGAAGTTTTGCAGTGGTACATATGTAGGATGGAGGCATGGTTTGCTGTAGATGCGAATTTGATATCGCTAAAATGTTGGGATCAGGCAAGCAAACTATTCTATCTTCCATTTATAACAAGCTTGCCTACTGTTTATTGGTGGAAGCAATACACTTTAGAGAATACCCTGGAGAGCTCAAAGTAGATATTTGTTGTACAGGATGAATGTCTTTCAGGTGGTCATGGTCTAATGGTGCAGGGCTATGAGCCAGTGATCAGAACACTAGCAAAAGACATCGATATTCGCTTGAGTCATAGGTAATTAAATCAACCTTTGAAGAGATGATACGTAACTTTCATCCATCTTACTTAAACATAATCACGTGTGCTTGATTTTCTTAACACAGGGTTACTAAAGTGTCAAGAACATCTAATAACAAGGTGATAGTCGAAGTTGAAGGGGGAACCAATTTCGTTGCTGATGCTGTTATCATCACGGTTCCCATCGGAGTTCTCAAGGCAAACCTGATTCAATTTGAGCCAGATCTCCCACAATGGAAGACCTCTGCGATATCAGGTCTCGGAGTAGGCAACGAGAATAAAATCGCCCTGAGATTTGACAGAGTGTTTTGGCCCAACGTTGAGTTCTTGGGGATGGTGGCACCGACTTCTTACTCGTGTGGCTATTTCCTGAATCTCCACAAGGCAACAGGCCATCCGGTGCTTGTGTACATGGCTGCAGGGAATCTAGCTAAAGACCTCGAAAAGCTTTCCGATGAAGCTACAGAAAATTTCGTGATGCTGCAACTTAAGAAAATGTTTCCCGACGCACCTGATCCCGTAAAGCAATCATATCCATCATCTTCTTATTGCACAATATGTTTGGAAACACTTATAGGTGTGTGTGTGTGTGTGTTTTGGTTACAGGCTCAATATCTAGTGACAAGGTGGGGAACGGATCCAAACACATTGGGGTGTTACGCATATGACGTGGTTGGGATGCCGGAAGATCTTTACGCGAGGCTAGGAGAGCCAGTGGATAACATATTCTTTGGAGGAGAAGCTGTGAACGTCGAGCATCAAGGATCGGCTCATGGAGCTTTCTTAGCAGGAGTCTCGGCCTCTCAGAATTGTCAGAGGTATATCTTCGAACGGCTCGGGGCTTGGGAGAAACTCAAACTTGTTTCTCTTATGAGGAATAGTGATATTCTCGAATCTGCAACTGTGCCTCTCCAGATCTCCAGGATGTGATTGATAATTGATTGGTTTACTTCTCTCTCACTCTCTCTCACTCTCTCTCACTCTCTCTCGTTTCTACTTTCATTTTTAGTTTTCTTGTATGTTCTCTCTGCTTAAAAGACAAGCAAGGGTTCAATTTATTTTTCTCCATACGGAAAACAAATAAAGAATAACATCCCCGACTTCTGAATGCGAAGTCTTGTTTTTCTTCTTTGATATATCTCTCGATGTCATACATTTTTTGTTTTTATAATTTAATAATTCAAATGACTAAAGCATTTGAATACCTTATACTTCTTGTATGCTGCTTTCTCTCACTGGTTATACTTTTGTTTTTGTAAATAGAATTTCAATTCAGGGAAAGAAATATTTCGCCACCTCTGAATAGTTTAAAACTTTGTACAGTTAAATGTTAGACAAAATAAGATATCACGACAAAAAAAAAAAGACAAAATAAGATATCAATTATCAACATTTATAAGAAATAGAAGATGGTCGAAATTAAGAAGGGTTGCATTTTTTTTTTTTTTTAAACTTATATAATAATTTGGTAGAATCAAAACTCGTGCTTCACTTATAGAATGCATTCTTTCCAAATTAGTCTCTCTTGTGCTTCATTTTCCCGAGTAGAAATCAAGTAAATCGCTATTTTGTTTTAGAAGGAAAACAAAAAAACAACAATGTTTGATTCCCAATCTAAATTAAATTTCGACAAATAGTAGAAACAAATATAAAATCATAAAGTTCAAACTCAAACAAACTTGTCTATGTTTATCATTTTGAGCTTGGTAAGTAGATTCACCATTAGGTTCTTCATCCGAATCAGCTCCACAAACCATTCTTATGGATTTCTTTCAAACTGTTCGTATGCATTTCTTTCATCTCCATCAAAAAAAATCACATAAATATTATTATATCTAAATTTTATTTATAAATTCTATCATTATCTCTTAAGCATTTTCTTAAGAGATAACTTGATTTTCAAGTTTGAATTATCCAACATTCTCTTCTTTAATTCCAGCTTGAACTTCAAGTAGCTTAATGTCTTCGACTTCAAATAGATTCCTCATAATCTCTTTGAATTTTATCCTTGCTAACGCCTTAGAGCATCTCCAATGGTAAAAACTAATAAGAGGTTCTTATCAATTCTTTAATTATAAATTTTGATGAATGAAAAGTTTAGAACCTTCCTTATTAATCTTCCATTATGGTTAACTCCTTCCTTACATAAGGATTATGTATGTTCATCCTTTTATTAATAATAATATCCTATTGGCGAAAAAAGAAAGAAAAGTTTAGAACCTTATTATTTTTTTCATCTCCAATGGTGAGCTTGTAAAGGGTTCTTAAAAAAATTATTATTTTGATAAATCATTAATTTGAAGACACCAACCTGAATGTAAACCATTACATTAGAGTATTTCTATGCCACAAAATATAGAAAAGCTCCTTTAGATCCCTCTAGAAATGGAAGAAAGACAACGAAGGAAGAAAGATTGGAGTGTCCCATTTACTAGGAATCATTCAACGTCGTTGAGAATGTGCCTTACGTCTTATGGTGTGGCCATACCATCAAATCCTCAGCTATACCTTTCCAGCTTCCCTTCTTCGTTGCTTGCCCTTGGTGCAATTTACTCTCGTTAAGGCAATGGCTGTCCCATTGTTTCTCATCCTCTATTTTGCTTTCCCGACGTTAAACTGGCTGATCAGAGAGATTTCAGCCTAACTCAGTGTAATGTCTCTTTGTTCCTTTATGTTTCCTGACTTGTAAGAAACATGAGAGAGTGAATTATAGAGCCGAAGTTGTTACAGTTAATGGTAGACAAGAAGAAGAGAAGATAGTATCCGTTGAATTCAATATCCTTACAGGGAGGATGGTGCAAGCACTGCACAATGTACACAAGAAATGGGAAGCTTTTAGATATGATAATGTAATAGTCAAAGCAAAGGTGGATCAAGATTTGATCGCGGTACTCTCATGGTGAATCCACTATCTGTTGATCGATTTTCAATATAAAATGTGTTTACAAGTTGTGTGTATAATTCCCAGATCAAAGCAAGAGCTAAAAGCTAAATCTATTTTAAAGCTCAATCATACTCCTATTTAAACGATCAAATTTGCAACTTTCGGTGATTCCATTTTAGATAGTTTACATTATCGTCAAACCCAGAAACGCATTTACATCGATAATCCATTTGAGGTGAAGGAAAACCTAATTATACAGAAATCAAAACTTTTTCATAGATCCACAACAACAAACTGTAAACCGACTTGCAAGCAACAAACACACCTTTGAAATTGAAATCCACCTTCGATGTCAATCAAGCACATGCGCATGGATTCTCCGCCGCCGCATCAGCACCGCCGTCGTCTGATCTGGAAACAGTGTACCCTACGGTTAATCCGACGACGATCGATCTGGTGAAACAAGCAACGGCGTAGGAGGAGAAAGAATGTCGGCCAAAAAAAATCATCGGCCTATTTCTCGAGCAAGAGAGAGGTTTAAAAAAAAAATATTTCTGCCCAATAACAACAAGACACGTAGCCTTTAGAACCGCCTTTTAAAATCCTAAAATAAGGATCGGTTCTGATGAATATTTGCTTTTTGATTTTTTTTTTAATCACATATTGCCTCTGAACCTGTGCCAACATCTCCCGTTGGAGATGGTCTTAGTAAGTATGTCTGCCTTCTGTTCTGCGCCTGGAACATGTTCCACCTTAATATGACCATTCTTTACACATTTTCAGATAAAATGGTACCTAGAGAGGATGTGTTTGCTTCTCCCATGAAACACATGATTCTTGGTTAGTGTTATGGCCGATTTATTGTATATTCTAAGTATAACCTTTCCATTGTCTTTACTTAGAATTTTCTTTAATAGTTTTTGAAGCCATATAGCTTGCTTTGTTGTCTCTGTAGCTGCCATGAACTCTGCTTCACTTGAAGATAAAGCGATGGTAGATAGCTTCTGAGATGTCCAAGTGATCGGCGATGAACCTAGATAGAACACATTCCCTGCAGTGCTCCTCCCATCATGAACATCGATATTGTGACTGCTGTCACTATATCCTATTGCTTTGCTTGATCCATCTCTTATGAAGTGTAGACCCAAGTTAGTAGTTCCTCTTACATACCTTAGTATGCGCTTAATGGCTGGTCCATGAGAGACTCTTGGACTCTGTATATAGCGACTTAGATCATGATAGGATGCCTGAGATGGTGACTGATGCATTTCATGAAACGCATACTGGTAATGCTGTTGAGGAATCCAATGTACATGCCAAACAATTTTATGATTTGTTAGACAATGCTAATCAGCCAATCTACGAAGGATGTAGAGAAAGTCTGTCTAAAGAGAACATCCACGCTTATTTTATGAGAGCCAGACATATAACATTGCCTGACGCTGCAGTCTACTCAATCCATCTTCAAAAACCCGAAGAATGCAGCTACTACACCAACAAGATCAGCAATAAGAAGCTGGATGTGTTTAACAATGTGGTTCGAAGCTTACCTGAAAGAATAACTTTTACCAGAGCTTGCAAGGACTATATGATTGACCACTATTTTTGTGAGAGAAAAGAATCTATTCCTAAGATATAATACTTGTTCATTCATGCCAAACAAGGGAAGCCTATTCGAACACTCCATAAAATCGAAGGTCAATGTCAATTTATTATCTCTTGTTCAATTAGAGGTGAAAGATTTCATCATGTTCTTTGTGATTCTGGAGTTTGTCTCAATATGATATCTAAAGCAACTGATTTGAGGCTTGGTATTAAGCATCTGTACAGGATTAGAACAAAGATAAGCTTAGCTGATGAAACCAGTGTCACATCTAAAAGAGTAGCTTATGACATTCCTTTAAGGATAGGAGACTACATTGTTCCTGTCGATTTTTACATTTTCAAGTCCAAAGATGATTCACATACAGCGATTCTTGGATGGTCTTTCTTAGAAACTTCCGGAGCCATCAGGGATTGGACATACCGAAAAATCTCATTTGCTAATGTCGACAAAGACAGCTTCTTTAATGGTGTTCCTTTTGACAGCAAAGCAGGAAAACGTCCTGCAACAGAGGTGTTTGAAGCAGAAATTTGGAGTGACGAAGAATCTGCTAGGCAAAACAAGGAGATTTCAAAAAGGTGACTGATGCATTTCATGAAACGCATACTGGTAATGCTGTTGAGGAACCCAATGTAGATGCCAAACACTTTTATGATTTGTTAGACAATGCTAATCAGCCAATCTACGAAGGATGTAGAGAAAGTTTGTCTAAAGAGAACATCCACGCTTATTTTATGAGAGCCAGACATATAACATTGCCTGACGCTGCAGTCTACTCAATCCATCTTCAAAAACCCGAAGAATGCAGCTACTACACCAACAAGATCAGCAATAAGAAGCTGGATGTGTTTAACAATGTGGTTCGAAGCTTACCTGAAAGAATAACTTTTACCAGAGCTTGCAAGGACTATATGATTGACCACTACTTTTGTGAGAGAAAAGAATCTATTCCTAAGATATAATACTTGTTCATTCATGCCAAACAAGGGAAGCCTATTCGAACACTCCATAAAATCGAAGGTCAATGTCAATTTATTATCTCTTGTTCAATTAGAGGTGAAAGATTTCATCATGTTCTTTGTGATTCTGGAGTTTGTCTCAATATGATATCTAAAGCAACTGATTTGAGGCTTGGTATTAAGCATCTGTACAGGATTAGAACAAAGATAAGCTTAGCTGATGAAACCAGTGTCACATCTAAAAGAGTAGCTTATGACATTCCTTTAAGGATAAGAGACTACATTGTTCCTGTCGATTTTTACATTTTCAAGTCCAAAGATGATTCACATACAGCGATTCTTGGATGGTCTTTCTTAGAAACTTCCGGAGCCATCAGGGATTGGACATACCAAAAAATCTCATTTGCTAATGTCGACAAAGACAGCTTCTTTAATGGTGTTCCTTTTGACAGCAAAGCAGGAAAACGTCCTGCAACAGAGGTGTTTGAAGCAGAACTTTGGAGTGACGAAGAATCTGCTAGGCAAAACAAGGAGATTTCAAAAAGGTGACTGATGCATTTCATGAAACGCATACTGGTAATGCTGTTGAGGAACCCAATGTAGATGCCAAACACTTTTATGATTTGTTAGACAATGCTAATCAGCCAATCTACGAAGGATGTAGAGAAAGTTTGTCTAAAGAGAACATCCACGCTTATTTTATGAGAGCCAGACATATAACATTGCCTGACGCTGCAGTCTACTCAATCCATCTTCAAAAACCCGAAGAATGCAGCTACTACACAACCAAGATCAGCAATAAGAAGCTGGATGTGTTTAAAAATGTGGTTCGAAGCTTACCTGAAAGAATAACTTTTACCAGAGCTTGCAAGGACTATATGATTGACCACTACTTTTGTGAGAGAAAAGAATCTATTCCTAAGATAGAATACTTGTTCATTCATGCCAAACAAGGGAAGCCTATTCGAACACTCCATAAAATCGAAGGTCAATGTCAATTTATTATCTCTTGTTCAATTAGAGGTGAAAGATTTCATCATGTTCTTTGTGATTCTGGAGTTTGTCTCAATATGATGTCCAAAGCAACTGATTTGAGGCTTGGTATTAAGCATCTGTACAGGACTAGAACAAAGATAAGCTTAGCTGATGAAACCAGTGTCACATCTAAAAGAGTAGCTTATGACATTCCTTTAAGGATAGGAGACTACTTTGTTCCTGTCGATTTTTACATTTTCAAGTCCAAAGATGATTCACATACAGCGATTCTTGGATGGTCTTTCTTAGAAACTGCCGGAGCCATCAGGGATTGGACATACCAAAAAATCTCATTTGCTAATGTCGACAAAGACAGCTTCTTTAATGGTGTTCCTTTTGACAGCAAAGCAGGAAAACGTCCTGCAACAGAGGTGTTTGAAGCAGAACTTTGGAGTGACGAAGAATCTGCTAGGCAAAACAAGGATATTTCAAAAAAGACTTGTCTTACGACAAGGTCTTCATCGGACTGAGCAACTTCCTACACCAAGTTGAGCTGAACGACCTAAAAGAGAAGCGCTCAATGGGAGGCAACCCATGTAGGTGTTGTTTTCTTTAGGATTTTCTGTCGTTTTCAACTGATCTTTTTTTTTCTTAGTTTCAGGTGTTTCTTTAAAAATAAAAAAAACCAAAAAAATCAAAAACCCAAAAAGAAGGATTGGTTCCAGACTTCTCGGCCCACTAGGAACCAACGAGGAGCACGAACAGGCATCATTTAAGCCCCCGCGGTCGCATGAGTTTGGATCGCGGCCAACCGCATATCGACCGCGGTCCCGTACGACCGTGGCTAGACCTGTTCTACCTGCAGTCACGTGAGCCCGGACCTCGGCCCCTGGTCGTTAAAACGACCTCCGATCCAATCCACTTCACCATGACTCATTCCACCTCATCCACCACTTCTCATCACCATTTAGCATCTTCCCGCAATTTCCGCATCTTCCCGCATCTTCTCGAATCAGTCTGGTTCATTCCTGACAACATCCTGGATCCAGGTAAGTTCCCTTTAGCTTATCTTTTTTGATATACCTTTGCATTTTTCTCATCCAATCTCGACTTCTTTCACACTGAGGACAATGTGATTCAAGTCTGGGGGAGGACTTCATCCCTTTCTAACCACATTTTTTCATGAGTCTTACATTACCTATATTTTTTGCATTTTCCTTAAAGTTTTTCAAAAACGATTTTCAAAACAAAATATGTTTTAGAGGGAATGGTGAACATAAATCGATGATAGTTGACTGTGTTTTTTTAGACTATGCCTAGTGACATGCTCATTCATGGTGTAGGACTAGACTAGGCGGTAGCTAAGCACATTTAAAACAAAGTACCCCATAAGAATTTGAATGATTTTGATTTAGATGAAAGAATACACTAGCTCTGTTTTATCTAGACTTAACATTGACTTAATTTTTTCATTGAAGCATTAGATCAGGGAAACGAATCATACATTAAGGACTCCTTTACCTTTTTACCACTCTTTATTGATCTTGAATGGCTAGTTCATCTTTAGCTAGTTCCCTACGTAACCTAACATCTTTCAAACCACATGCATTCTTGATTTTTCGTTGTCCTATTTGCAGATATGTGCATAAACGTCAGAGAGAAATAGGATCACCGCGGTTCTCAGTCATTGAAGATGGAGACCTGCGATTTCACCGGAATGATTCAACAAAGAAGAAAACTTGGTTTACTTCAGAAAAATCACCAAACATTGGTACATTTTTTGTCTCTTAGACTCTCTCTCTTAAAAAAAGGTTGTTTCCCCTTTCAAAAAAAAATCTAAAAAAATAAGAAAAAAAAAAAACAAGAAGGGAAAGGAAACAAAAACCTTATAGAGTCTAGGATGACCAAATTTTATCCTTGAGGCAGCCTTGGTTTGATTGTTTGGAGATTTGGAGATCATCTTTCTGATTCCCGAAAA